CAAACTCACAAACTGTGAGATCATGACCTGAGCTGAAGTCGGACGCTCAACCAACTGAGCCACCCAGGCGCCCCTCTGATGCATTTTGAGTTCGTTTTTGTATATGGTGTGAGGGAGGAGTCTAACTTCTTTCTTTCACAGTTGGATATCCAGTTATCTCAGCTCTACTTCTTGAAAAGACTGTTCTTTTCCCCATAGAATTATCTTGGCATCTTTGTTGAAAATCCATTGACAGCAAATGTAGGGTTTATTTCTGGACTCTCAATTCTATTCCATTGATCCATATGTCTGTCCGAAGCCAATACCACACTGTTTTGACAGTTGTACTGTGTAGGAAGTTTTGAAATTAGGAAGTGTGATGGTCCAACTTTGTTCTTCGTTTTCAAGATTCTTTTGGTTATCCTGGGCCCTTTGCCTTTCTATATAAATTTTGGGATCAGCTTGCCAATTTCTGCAGAAAGGAAATTTGGCAATCTATAGATCAATTCGTGGAGTATTGCCGTTCTAACAATATTAAGTCTTCCAATCCATCAGCGTGTCTTTCCATTTATTTAAATCTTCTCTAATTTCTTTCAAAGATGTTTTTTAGTTTTCAGTTACAAGTCCTCCACTTAAAATTTTTTTCATGAGCATTCCCTCTTTCTCTGGCCTCCCCCGCTCATCCTCTGTGTGTGTGTCTCTTAAAAGGGGTGGGGGGGTGGGTGCCTGGGTGGCTCAGTGGGTTACATGTCCAACTTGGGCTCAGGTCATGATCTCACCGTTCATGAGTTTGAGCCCCACATCAGGCTCTGAGCTGCCAGCTCAGCCTGGAGCCTACTTCAGATTCTGTGTCTCCCTTTCTGCCCTCCCCTGCTCATGCTCTGTCTCTCTCAAAAATAAACATTAGGGGGCGCCTGGGTGGCGCAGTCGGTTAAGCGTCCGACTTCAGCCAGGTCACGATCTCGCGGTCCGTGAGTTCGAGCCCCGAGTCAGGCTCTGGGCTGATGGTTCAGAGCCTGGAGCCTGTTTCCGATTCTGTGTCTCCCTCTCTCTCTGCCCCTTCCCCGTTCATGCTCTGTCTCTCTCTGTCCCCAAAAAAATAAATAAACGTTGAAAAAAAAATTAAAAAAAAAAACATTAAAAAATTAAAAAAAATTTTTTTTCATAAGCAATTTGTTCTTTTTGATGCTATTGTGAATACAGTTATTTTCTTAATTTCAGTTTTGGTTTGTTGATAGTATATAGAATACAACTGATTTTTATATATTGATCTTGTATTCTGCAACCTTGCTGAACTGTTTATTAGTTTTTATAGTTTTCTGTGTGTATGTATTCCTAGGACTTTCTACATACAAGATCATGTCATCTGTGAATATAGTTTTACTTTTTCCTTTCCTGTGTGATTGTATTTTGCATGAAGTTTCACCTTTGTTCCATGAGAATCTTTTTTCCTGGTGATCTCTTAAAGAGGAAATGAGTGTCCCTTTGTAGAATTCTGCTTGCCTAAATCATGAGGAAAATCACCACCTTCTTCCCCCATAATTAAAAGCTATATATTTATATTACTATTCTAAAAGTTAACAACTCTGAAGTTGCACATGAAGACATTTTAAAAGAATATCTGAATCTCCTTTGAAATGTATACTATATCTTAACTGTAACTCCCTTGGTTTTCAAAATGTTTTCGTGAATCACTTTTCAAAAGTATGCTGTTACAAGTTGGTTTCCTTATAAGTACAAGGGTCTCCCTCTCCTAAAGATCTCAAAGTGATTTCTGAAAAAGTATGAGATGCCAGGGAATCTCTCGTTATATTTTAAATATCAAAAAGAAACCTACAAATTGACGTATAAGACCTCAGATGAGGTAGTCACCCAGCTCTGGTTGGTGAATTCTCTCCTACCCCTATTTTCCTGAAGGCATGGCTTTTTAGTAAACAGGAAAAGACACAGTGTAGAAAGTCTGTGGTCTTTTTCCATAACAACAACCTCTTACGGTCCCAAATGCCCGAACACAGACTCGTCCATACTCGTCCATAGTCTGCAGATAATCTTTACACAATATCAAACAAGTTGCTCATCAGCACAGCTATGTTAATTCCTATAATCCTGTTTCAGTTCAGATGGGCTGTTGTGCAATATAGCACAGAGCTGCAGAATCTCAGTGGCTTGTAAGCACAAAGGTTTATTTCTCACTCTATGCTGTGTCAATTACAGTTTGAGTGGAAGACCTGATACCTCCACTATATGGAAGAGAACTAGTTCTGCCATCAGGGGAAGGGGAACATGATAAATCCTTAACTGTTCTTTAGGCGTCCTCCAGAAGTGAGACACATCACTTTGAAGACGGCCACACTCAACTTCAAGGTGGCAGGGAGGCCCAGTCTCCCATGTGTCCCAATCAGAATATCAGTGAGTCGTCCAAATGACCTTCAGAGACATTACAAAAAAGGAGGAAAAGGAAAAGGAACATTTGCAAAATCACCAATATGTGACTGTCTTGTGATCAAGCACTTTACAGTGTTATTTCATTCATAACCATTTTACCTAATTGAAAACTCACTCAAGATCAAAAGCCTGGAAATAGAAAGCTTAAGAGCTGGGATTTAAACCCACATCACCCAACTCCAAATTTCATGGGCATTTTCCTTTACCATGTTACGTTCTTCTTTGCTAGACTGTCCCGATGTACCTGAACTGCACACAAAAGTAGATGAGGCCCTCAGATTGGTCAACGTGTCCCATGAGCAATATGCCCAGATTCTCCAGATGACCCAGCATCACCTGGAGGACACCACATATCTGATGGAGAAGATGAGAGAGCAATTTGGCTGGGTGACTGAACTGGCAAACCAGACCCCAGGAACTGAGAGCACCTTCAACTCCATAAAGGTAATGGAGAGACCCAAAAACAGATATGGAGATTACATGTGCATACATTGGTATTTTTTCTGTTAATTCACTTATTAAGTACATCTGCATTTGAAAACAAGCTGTAGGAGGATATTCATATTTCCATCATGATTGCATTCAGGCTGACCTGCTACAATGTAGTGCATGGTCATTAGAAATAAAATTCCTTGGGAATGCAAGCTGGTGCAGCCACTCTGGAAAACAGTATGGAGGTTCCTCAAAAAACTAAAAATAGAACTACCCTACGACCCAGCAATTGCACTACTAGGCATTTATCCACGGGATACAGGTGTGCTGTTTCGAAGGGACACATGCATCCTAATGTTTATAGCAGCACTATCAACAATAGCCAAAGTATGCAAAGAGAATGTCCATCGATGGATGAATGAATAAAGAAGATGTGGTACACACACACACACACACACACACACACACACACACACAGTGGAGTATTACTCAGCAATCAAAAAGAATGAAATCTTGCCATTTGCAACTACGTGGATGGAACTGGAGGGTATTATGCTAAGTGAAATTAGTCAGAGAAAGACAAAAATTATATGACTTCATTCATATGAGGACTTTAAGAGACAAAACAGATTGACATAAGGGAAGGGAAACAAAAATATGAAAACAGGGAGGGGGACAAAACGGAAGAGACTCATAAATACGGAGAACAAACTGAGGGTTACTGGCGGGGTTGTGTGAGGGGGGATGGGCTAAATGGGTAAGGGGCACTAAGGCATCTACTCCTGAAATCATTGTTGCACTATATGCTAACTAATTTGGATGTAAATTAAAAAAAAAATAAAACAAGTTAAAAAACAAACAAACAAAAAGAAATAAATTCTATAAAGAAAACCAATTTAAAATGCAAAATATCTTCTAATCCAGACATGGCCAATTCTGCTTAAAGCTATAGGAATATAATTAACTTATGCAAGTAACCTTGAAGAAACCTGATCAGTGCAGTTTTTGAGAGACAAGACTTACAGGTAAAGCAACGAGTTCAAATGCTGACCCTGATACTCAGCAGCTAAGTAAGTTTGGGAACGTTCCATACCCTTTCTAGGTCTGTTTTTCCACTTGAAAAAATGGAAATAATAACAGCTAACTCAAAACTGATGTTTGTAAAGCAGTTAGTATAGGTTCCTTACTCAAAGCAAGGGCTTTGTAAATTTAGCTGTCAATAGTTTTTGAAACAAAAAGCTGCTGACTTACCTTGAGAATTATGTTTACATCAAAACGTAGTGCCATCTGAAGTTGCACTTTATGCCATGTTTCCCACATTCAGTCAATAGCTCCTGTTGCATAACATAAAACAGTGACTGAATTTCTCTTCTGACCAACTCCTCCTACCCTCACTCCCACAACACACACTAGGTTAACAAACAAGGCTAGTGACTCCCGAAGAGGTTAGTATCGGCGGATTCCTAAAAAGACCTGGATACAAAAATCACTGGGCAGAGCAACTGAAGAAGCAATATTTTGTGCAGTGTGTAATGTCAGTGCGTTACTCAGATTGCCACGGATCCTCTTACCAACTTTGGCTGGTGCCGCTGCTAACTGTTCACCCTCTTCCCAACCCTTCTCCAGAGGGTTGCCTTTGGGGCCATTTAAGAGCTCCCTGCTGCATCAGGCTGAGGCCAGAGGTCACCTGAAGCCACATCCTAGATTAGCTTCTCCCTCTTGCCTATGTTGCTTGCCTAATCCCCCAAAAAGTTTCACCTGAAGGCACCCTTAATAAATTGCTTTTGTCAGAGTCTCAGGCTCTGTTTCCAGAGAATCTGACATATGTGACATTCTGTGTCCTAATATATCTGTCTCTTTCAAACTGAAAGTTTGAGACATAGGTTTAGAGAGTCACATCCAGTACATTAAACAAACAAAACAAAACAGAATAGGGCAGACTAAGGAGAAAGAGTGCAGTGTACTTAACAAATCATATGCATATATCATGGAACTTTCATTTCCATTACATGTGTGTGTATGTGTGTGTGTAAATATGAGTGTATGCATATATATATATATATATATATATATATATATATATATATATATATATATATATATATATATATATATATATATATTGCGTATTTTTGAGTCATGATGTAAAAATGTATTTGTAACTGTTGACCAGAGTCAAACAGTTCTGAAAGTCACTCTCCCAACCCGGCTGATTCTCTGACTTATTTCCTTCATCAGCTAGTTTATACTCTAGAGGAGTAAAATAATTCAGTATACTTGATCATTCTTACAAACACACACTTTCAGCTAATGAGGAAAAGGTCTTGTCTTGAAGAATAAAATCTGAAGACAATGTTGAGTAGTGCTTTCAGACTTTAGAAAGTTACAACCAAGAGTTAATTGCTTTCATAATCGTCAGTATTTTCCATTCTATGCTGCAGTTTGTTTCCATTCTAGTGTCTCTGGGTAACACTAATAGGTTTACCTAAAATTCTTTATATTGACAACAAAAGCAGTTCTATATAAAAATCTCCATATAAAATAAAATTATGGTTTTCAGTGATAATTCTTCTAATAGTCATGGTCACTAACGAGCACTTACTATGTGTCAGGCAATGTTCTAAGGACTTTTTCCATACACCAGATTGTTTAATGCTCTCAGTGATCCTATAAGGTATTGTTTTTCACATTTTTCAGATGAGGTACAGAGAAGTTAAGCAACTTGTCTGAGGTCACACTGCTAGCAAGTGGTAGAACAGGGAGTTAAACCCAAGCAGCATTTCTCCGGAATTTCTGGACTTAACCACTTTGCTGAACTACCCGTAAAAGTTATTTTTATCAAAACAACTCTTATTTCATCATGTAACAGAAAGTGCAAAGCCATAACACAGCAAGTACTGAAGAGGCATATACAAGTATGTAAACTTTCTGGCAAGTAAAAACAGTTATGCCCTTTAGGTTGTAATTACATGGTATTAGCTTTATAATTATTTATTAAACTAGACAAAAATGCTTTATGCAGTTTTTATGTGGGTTATATTCACCAAAAGGAAAAGAGCTGGGAGAAATCATGTTAGCTATTTCTTTACATACTAGAATTAAGAAATTATCAGTTTTATTTGGCTTCTGAAGATTTTGCTTTAGTTTTTTTTTTGATAAGGAGGTTATTTGAAAACATTTTATTTTTTTTTTTTAATTTTTTTTTCAACGTTTTTTATTTTATTTTTGGGACAGAGAGAAACAGAGCATAAACGGGGAAGGGGCAGAGAGAGAGGGAGATACAGCATCAGAAACAGGCTCCAAGCTCCGAGCCATCAGCCCAGAGCCTGACGCGGGGCTCGAACTCACGGACCGCGAGATCGTGACCTGGCTGAAGTCGGACGCTTAACCGACTGCGCCACCCAGGCGCCCCTTGAAAACATTTTAAAAATAGTTCTCTTAAGGTTACATCAACTTGCATGTCAGTACAGTTTCATTTAAATTATTAAAATCAAAGTATGTGCACTTGAGAATTCATTGAGAGTAACCGCCATGACTTTCAGATGACTGGTTCTCACCAAAATCACATAACAACCATAAATTGTAAATTTCCTAGGAAAATAACAGTATAAAACTTGGTGCATCACATAAATAGTTGTGACTCTGATGGTAGTGCTCACCAAATATTCTGTCTGCTCACTCATATTTTCTAGCTCCTGCTGCTGTTAAATGGTGCCATGTGGCAAGTCCCGGCCAGTGAAATATGAAGAAAACTGACAAGGGTTATTTCTAGACTGAGATAGTGCAGGGCTTATACACTCTCCGTGTCTGCCAGGGGCACAAAGAAAGCCATGCATTCCTCATGCTACAGCCATGAGATGACCTGCCAGTGTCAACCAGGGTCCTGAATGTTGGAGGCTATACAGAGCCCCTGAAATGGACATGTAACATGAGCAAGAAGTAAATGTTTGTTGTATGAAGCCACTGGGATGTTGGAGCTACTCTGTTACCTCAGCATAACCTAGCCTATCCTGACTAATGTGGTATTAAGTTAATCCTGAATGTGCATTGGGGTTTAGTAATCTTTTACTGTATAATCCTTCTTCTTAGGTGGTTCCAGATGTTCATGAAGGGAATTTTCCCAAACAAGATGAAACAATGATAGACTTGAGCATTCTGCCTTCTCCCAGTTTCACACTCAAGATCCCTCCTGAAGACAGTGATGACAGTTCTAACTTCATTAGCTACGTGCTGGCGAAAGCTGTGCAGCATTTTAAGAAACACTTTTAAAATTGGTAAGCAGAGTGCCAGGTTAAACATGCCTTGTTGATAGGAATAGATGATTCATAAAAGAGAAAAACAACAAAACTAGTTTTAAAATACTTGGAAAATATGTTCAACCTCATCAGTAATCAAAGACATAAAAATTAAGACACGATAGCATCATATGCCTATCAAACGTGTAAATTTTTTTTTTTAATTTTTTTTTTCAACGTTTATTTATTTTTGGGACAGAGAGAGACAGAGCATGAACGGGGGAGGGGCAGAGAGAGAGGGAGACACAGAATCGGAAACAGGCTCCAGGCTCCGAGCCACCAGCCCAGAGCCTGACGCGGGGCTCGAACTCCCGGACCGCAAGATCGTGACCTGGCTGAAGTCGGACGCTTAACCGACTGCGCCACCCAGGCGCCCCAAACGTGTAAATTTTTTACAAAATACAAAATCGTGATAGGAGTGTGATGAAATGGGAATTCTTATATGTTATTAGCAGGAACACAAACTGTTGTTGCCTTTTTGAAAATAGATTTTGGAAAAGCTATTTGAGGGGCACCTGGGTGGCTCAGTTGGTTGAACAGCTGACTCTTGATTTCGGCTCCACCATCTCCTGGTTTTGTGAGTTCAAGCCCAAGTTGGGCTAGCAGCACAGAGACTGCTTGGGATTCTCTCTCTCCCTTTCTCTCTGCCCCTCTCCTGCTTGTTCTCTCTAAATACATACATACATACATACATACATATATACATACATACATACATACTTAAAAAAATAACAATAAAAAGTCCCCTGCCCATCCTCCAAATCTGTATTTGCAAAATTATTTAAAATAGTAAAAATTTAAAAACAATCTTAATGGTTAAAAACAAGAGAATGGTTAAGTAGGTTGTAGCTTAATATCTTCTAAATTAGTGGCACAATTAAAACTGCATGTAACATTCTCTTTGGGTAATATGATCAATCTTAAAGAATAATTAAATTTTAATTCTAAATTATTATTCATAAGCGACATTGTTAGCAGGTCAGTGTATAATTAAGCTTGATATTACAGGATTTGCTGCCTGTCCCTTTAAGTTTTGGAGAACTTTTTTTCAAGTTATAATAGTCAAACAATCAATATCTTTTTAGCATCTACTAAGTGAAGGCATAAACCCAGGTACTGTGGAGGAGAAAATGATGAATTTGACAAGATTCTTTCCCAAATGAGCTCTCTATCCAGCAGGGGATGGAGTGGGAGTTTACAAAACATACATATAACAATGACACAAGGTGGCATGTAGCCAGTCCCAAGATGGGGGCCTTTGGGAACTGAGGAGAGGACACTTTACTTTCCAGAAAAGGAGAAACTTCTTGGCTGGATATATTTCCTTTTTCACCTTCCTTTCCCACTGGCCTTCTATCCCCTTTCCTGTGCTCTTTCCCTCCCCTCATTCCTTCCCACCCTCCCTTCTCTCTTCTTTTCTTTAAAAAAAAATGGTTTTCCATTATTTTATTAGACATTAATTTTTTCAAAAGCCAAGAGCATTTATTGTATTCCACATTCTGAACCTTTATTCCAAGAAAAAAATACACTGTCCAAAATTATTTACTAATATTTTGATTCTTGCTGCTTTTTTTTAAAGGTAAGAAGACCTAACTCATCATACACCTGGCAAGTAGAATTACCTCTTCAGGTACCTCTGAGACCTGAAAATCCCAAATGTATAAAACAATGTAATAAATGTAACACCAGGAAGACATGTCAGTTTTATATTATGAAGTACTATTAATTTTATGTTGAATGACAGATTAATAGCTATTCAAATTGATTTAAAGTAGAATACCTTTTTTAAAAAATCACATGTACATATTACTAAATTCTATGGTACATTAGTAGTTCCTTGTATATTAAATAAATATTAAATTGCCAAGATGTCTCTGTTCTATCATTTCTACTACAAATACACCACTTTCTAATTAACGGAGGATACTTCTTTCAATTTGCTCTTGAATTTATAATATAATAATTGGCTTTTTGAAAAAAAATCTATAATTCATTTCTTTGTTTAGTAAAAACCTGTAACTTATGTATAGATTTTTTCTGTTGAATACACTTCTGCATGAATAAATTTATTAACTGCTAATGAAAATTATAACTTTTCTGGGATCTTCTAACAAGATGTTTATCTTAAAATGCTTTCTCTTCAGTGAAGCCACCTTTGGAGTTAGTCATTACTCCCACCATCTCTGTCATCTCAACTCCAGGCTGATATTTCTCTTCTTTTGGTCAAGATCCTGAATTTTTTTTTGTTTATGTATTTATTTTGAGTGAGAGAGAGTGTGCGTGTGTCCATTTGCACGTGAGCCAAGGAGGGGCAGAGAGAGGAGAGAGAATCCCAAGCAGGCTCTGTGCTAAATGCGCCTTGCAAGCATCATTCTACTTTCTGTGTCTATGAATTTGCCTCCTCTAGGCACCTCATATAAGTGGAATCATACAGCCTTTGTCCTTGTGTGACTGGCTTATTTTACTTAGCATGATGTCCTTAAGTTTCATCCATTTTGTAAAATAGGGCTCGATCCCATGACCATGAGATCATGACCTGAGCCGAAATCAAAAGTCAGACACTCAACCGACTGAGCCACCCAGGTGCCCCCAGACCCTCACATTTTAAAAGGAACTTCCACTTAAGGAAAGGTCATTTTTCCACAGCTCAGTTCTCTGAAAAACTTCCATCTCCCATTGAAGGTCATAGTCCAGGGGTGAAGCAATCACACAGTAGAACTTCAGAATTCTGGAAAGTCATTACGAACACTCGCATTGGTCAATCTTATTTATCACAAGCCTGAAAATGCACAGTCCTGGAAAAGGTGGCATCTCTGTGCACACATGTAATTTTTAAAAAGGAGAGGGCAATATGAAAGGGGCTGAAGTTTGATCACCAAAAATCAGCACAATGAAAACAAGGGATAATGAATAATGGGCACTAGAATTCAAACTTAATGTTTTAAAGAGATGGGGTGTCAGTTTTCAATTCCGTTTTGAACATCACATTACTAATGAATTATTTTTAAAAATAAAAAAGGATTGAGGGCAAAGAAAAAAATAAAAAGAATATCTAAATCCTGGAATGACCCCGTTTGTTCCTGATAAACTTCAATCACATTTTCTTCCTCCATCTCCAGTTCTTTCGGATTGTGATTATCCGCAATTCTCTCACCTTCAAAGAGGAACCTGAGCAAATTCCTCGAACCCCCTGTCGTTAACAGTATGATTCTTTGAGTTTCTTGAGATGCATTGTCATTTTCACTTTGAAGTGAATCTCACTGCTATCCTGTCCAATGACTTTGAGTTTAACGTATTCTCCTTCCTTTTTATCCCCCCAAGTCCTTAGTTGAAGGTTTTGCTTCCTGGTCAGACATGGTGGCTATGGCTTCATCCAGGATCTCCACACAACCCTGGCCTTGGTAGACAGAACCATGCTCTGGGGTTTATAGAAATCTAGACTTTTTTTATTGTGAATATATATATATATATGTATATATAAAACAAACTGTATTATTTTAACCATTTTTAAGTGTACGGTTCAGTAGCATTAAGTAAATTCACATTACTGTGCAGTCATCACCCCCATCCATCACCAGAACTTTTTTCATCTTCCCCAAATTAAACTCTATACCCATTAAACACTAACTCCCCGTTTCTCTCTTCTACCAGTGCCTTGCAAGCACCATTCTACTTTCTGTGTCTATGAATTTGCCTCCTCTAGGCACCTCACATAAGTGGAATCATGCAGTCTTTGTCCTTTTGTGACTGGCTTTTTTTGCTTAGCATGATGTCCTTAAGTTTTATCCATTTTGTAGCGGGTGTCGGAATTTCTTTTTAAGGCTGAAGACTATTCCTTTGTGTGGGTGTCACGTTTTTGTTTATTCACTCATTCATCCATGGACACCTGGGTTGCCTCCACTTTTTGGCCGCTGTGAATAAGGTTGCTATAGGCATGAGTGTACTTCATTGTTTCTTTGTAAAATTACCATAACAGGGTTCTCTTTGAACAAGGCCATACATATTTTATGGAAAATCCAAGATGTCACTTACTTAACCTCATAATTTGAACCTTGGCGCAATATAATAATCAGAGAGTCATTTGCTAGTATATGTCACTAAAGATTACATTGGAAATATATTTGTAGTCAGTCTTTCAAGTTATAAAGAGGAATATAATGAAAGAGAGGACTCAAAACCTTTAAAGCATTTCCCACACAGTCTTGATATTCTACTTGATGGGAAGTCTTGTCAGAGAAAGTTAGACGAGTCAGAGGCAGCCAGTTGAAAATAATTCACTCCAGATGACTATAAAGTTTCTCCTATCAAAAATGAGGGCTGTTAAAAAAGATAGGACACTATTGATAGAATCTTGGGTTCCTTAATGTACTGAAGTCTCAAATAAATAGAGCCTTTTCAACCACATATTTGATATATTTGTCAGACAAGGTGCCAAAAATTAAGTTAAAAAGGGAAACTTTCTAAGCGCCTTTCTAAAGGGCCAATGAACTATAGGAAACTTGTAGACTGAGGAGTAGGAAGAGGGGTTGGTAAGTGGAAAGCAGAGGTCTCGAAAACCTTCTGTGACAAGGCTGACCCAGATTCCAATCCCCACTGCTGTATTTCCTAGGTGTGTGACTTCAGGCAAGATGCTTAATGTCTCTAACCCTCAGTATCTTTACCTTAAAGTAATAGAAGGAATAGTTCTTGTTTTATAGCATAGTTGTGAGAACTACAGGAATTAATCCATAATGATAAGCATTAATAAATGGTAGCATTGATTATAAAGTAATATTATTATCAAGTGCCTGACTCACAGTTGGCTCTCAAAAATGTTCGTTTCCTGCTTCTTTACCTAATTATATCAACATTTTTGAGTTTGCTGTGTAAAGAAAAGAAGGTTTCTTCAGACCAGTAATATTCAAATGTTTTTGCTCTCAAACTTCCTAAAAGGAACATGAAAAAGTTATACTTGCTCTTGTATGTGATTTTTCAACATAAGTTGAAAGAATAGCAAAATTTTATTTTCCCATGTATTGTAAATATTAGCATTTCAAACATAAAATGGTTTCATCTCTCTTTAAAATATATCCAATGGAATCTAAATATCATGGAAATTTGATACCCAGAATCATCCACTTAAACAAATACACAAACAAGTTATTCTTTAACAATGAGAAATTTTCTTTCCATTTTCTCCTTAAACTCTGCTTTTCATTCTTTTTTCAAAGAATTTTATCCTAATGTAATATATTTTTATGTTTAAGCATCTTTTATTGATCAATAAAATGTAAGCATTTTTAGGTTTTTTAAAGTTTCTTTCTTTCTTTCTTTCTTTCTTTCTTTCTTTCTTTCTTTCTTTCTTTCTTTCTTTCTTTCTTTCTTTCTTTCCTTTCTTTCTGAGAGAGACAGAGCACAAGCAGGGGCAGGGCAGAGAGACAGGGAGATAAGCCCTGTGCAGGGCTCAAACACACGAACCATGAGATGAACCATGGTTCGTGAACCATGACTTCAGACATGAGCTGAAGTCAGATGCTTAACCCAGGAGCCCCAAATTTTTTAATTTATTTTGAGAGAGACAGAGACAGCATGCATGGGGGAGGGAGAGAGAGAGAGCGAGAATCCCAAACAGACTGCACTGTCAGCGCAGAGCTCCATGAGGGGCTCTAACTCACAAAACTGCAAGATCATGACCTGATCCGAAATCAAGAGTCAGTTACTTAACTGACTGAGCCACCCAGGTGCGATTTAGATTTTAAAAATCAAAAATCTGCCCAGAGGAGCACCTGGGTGACTCACTTGGTTAAGCGTCCAACCCTAGATATCAGCTCAGGTCTTGATCTCAGGGTCGTGAGTTCAGGCCCTGCATTGGGCTCCATGCTGGGCATGGAGTCTACTTAAAAAAAAAAAAAAAAAAAAAAATCTGCCCAGGCACAAAAATCTAGGTATCAAATATTCATTCTCAGTTATCATTTGTAATTATTATTTGTATATATTGATTAAAGTAACAAATATACATATCTATGACCATTAAAATATAAAATAGAGGTACGTAGGTGGCTCAGTCAATTGAATGTCTGACTCTTGATTTTGGCTCAGGTCATGAACCCAGGGTCATGGGATGTGGGGTTGAGTCCTGCATTGGGCTCTGTGCTGACAGTGGAGCCTGCCTGAGATTCTCTTCTCTCTCTCCCTCTACCCTCTATATAATTATATATATTATAAATATTTAACAATATTTAACAGAAATAGATCTCTTAATGAGAAGGAAGAGCTTTCCCCCCAATAAGTTAATGTATCCATTGATACAGTTCTTTCCTAGAGTAAGATAGGATTCAGCACCCATACTACCCCTATTTTTTATTTTTATAGATAAAAGTGCTAGGAAACATACTGGCCTAAATGCAGTGGGGGTTGGAATGTTCCTTCTCTCAAGGAGGTCTTGCCTGGTGGTAGGACCTAAAGTAGTTCCTCTGTACAATTATCATGATGAGTGCTGGAGTAATGAATAGGATTGTTGAATCACTGTATTGTATACCTAAACCTAATATAACACGGTATGTTAACTATACTGGAATTAAAATTAAAACTAAAACTAATTAAATAAAGTAATTTCTCTGTACCTGCAGTAGCCCTTTACTGAGTTATGCCATCATCATATCATGATGATCGTTCATTTATGGAGCAGCCGCTGGGAAAGGAACCATTCTCTATTGTCATCAAACCAAGATCCTCCAAGTACCACAGTGGAAAAGGAATCTCCACACAGGCAGGGGAGCCTATGCTCTTTACCTTGAGATTCTCTTTGTGGTATAACTGATATTCGGCTAGAATAATAAATTCAGCTCAAACTGACAAAAGGAAACTAAACACAGAGGATAACATACAACTGGAAAATCTAGGCTATTTTCTGCCTGGGATCCGCCCCGCGGTTGGAAATGTGTGGAGACACTTTTCAGTTGGGGTGAAGTTGGAGGAATATGTACGTTTAGTTGGCTTTCCACAGGCATGCTAAAGCCCTGCAGTATGCTGGACGATCCTGCCCAGTGAAGAACTCTGCAGTTCTGGCCCACCCAGAACATGCTTCCACATGGCATCTTAGCTTCTTATACCCAGGACAATGCTCAAGCTGAACAGACAACATGGGTCCCCATTCCTGCCTGAAGTCTGTTTTCTGAGTTAAGGTTTTCTGACCCAGCATGTCTCCTCCCAAATGACCACCAAAAAGAATGCCCACTGCATCTGGTGCTACCCGCCCTGTCCAAATAGTACAACACAATACAGGAGGGCTATCATTCCTAATAGGAGACCGATGACTCTTTAAAACTATTACTATGCTGGGGTTGGGGACACCTGGGTGGCTCAGTTGGTTAAGTGTCCTACTCTTGATTTCAGCTCAGGTCATGATCTCAGTTTGAAAGATGGAGCCCTGCATGGGGCTCCATGCTGACAGCTCAGAGCCTGCTTGGGATTCTCTCGCTCTCTGTCTCTCAAAATAAATAAATAAACATTTTTATTTTTTCAAATATCGGTATGGGATGGGGTGGGGAATGTGCTGTAGGAGGGGAAAATGAATCTATGCAGACCTAGGAAAGGCCAGCCTAGTACTGTGATGGATGAAATAGATTTAAAATATCTGCTGTTCTGTAACCCAATGCATTTCTGTTTATTGTGGCCTTTGTGAGCACTCATAAAACCAAACGGCAAGAACAGAGACTTTCCAGCTAGAAGTCTTGTGAAATGTTCCCTGAAGCACTTCTTAGTCTGTTCATAGTATTATCCTCCTTCCAATTAACCCAAATGGCCAGGTATTTTTAAAATTGTCTTCGAGATTTGATTTATTCTTTATAGGCTTTGTGCCACATAAAGGGATGCAAGATTGTTTTCACTGAGCGGATTAGGCAGAGCTGCACATGAAAGATATTCACCTCTTGCTAGAACTTGTGTTTCAATTGCAAAAATTTTAACCTTGAGTTTGAGAGGCATATGTTAGCAGAAAGATGTGAGAATCTTGCACAGCCAATACATTTGAGATAACCCGGGGAGAAAAAAAAAGAAAAAAAGTTGACTTTATTGAACGGAAAGAAATAGTGTTTGGTATGTTTCATTCAGTGCCAACATCTTACTCTTCATAACCCCAGACCCAGCAACAAAAAATACATTCAGCATCTACTATGTGCTAAAAAAAACCAGTTGTTGATTCAAAAGACTGCTTGTTGAAATTAGTCAGAGAAAGACAAATATCGTATGACTTCACTCATATGAGGACTTTAAGATACAAAACAGATGAACATAAGGGAATGGGAACAAAAATAACAAAAACAGGGAGGGGGACAAAAATATAAGAGACTTAAATATGGAGAACAAACAGAGTTACTGGAGGGGTTATGGGAGGGGGGATCGGCTAAATGGGTAAGGGGCATTAAGGAATCTACTCCTGAAATCGTTGTTGCACTATATGCTAACTAACCTGGATGTAAATTAAAAAATTAAATAAATAAAATTTTTTAAAGACTGCTTATTGCATGTCCACGTATTAGTACATTTTATTTTTTTTAAAGATTTTCTTTTTTTTTTTTCAACGTTTTTTATTTATTTTTGGGACAGAGAGAGACAGAGCATGAACGGGGGAGGGGCAGAGAGAGAGGGAGACACAGAATCGGAAACAGGCTCCAGGCTCCGAGCCATCAGCCCAGGGTCTGACGCGGGGCTCGAACTCACAGACCGCGAGATCGTGACCTGGCTGAAGTCGGACGCTTAACCGACTGCGCCAGCCAGGCGCCCCAAAGATTTTCTTTTTAAGTAATTTCCACACCCAACATGGGGCTGTAACCCACAACCCTAAGATCAAGAGTCCCATCCATGGTCTGCTGACTGAGCCAGCCAGGCACCCCTTCTACATTTTAAACTAATTATCAAATTGCTCTTACCCAACAGTGTTTACATTAGAAACATTTCACAGTAAGTGAAATTTTGCTGTCAAAAACTTGAGAATGGCTGGCTGTCATTAATCAAGTAAAAAAATGGAACTATTCCACTTCCTCCAGCTACTGGCCTTCGGTGAGGATAGGGAAAAACGGGAAGGCACAGCGCCTGACAGCCTGGTCAGATAACAGGGTTTTGTTTGTTTTTGATTTCATGAATACGTGAGGACTGTTCCAGGCTCCTCTTAGTATTAAATGGCGCGGTGGGGGCTCCTGGGTGGCTCAATCGGTTGGGCGACTGACTTCACCTCGGGTCACGATCTCACGGTTCGTGGGTTCGAGCCCCGCATCCGGCTCTGTGCTGACAGTTCAGAGCCTGGAGCCTGCTTCCGATTCTGTGTCTCCTTCTCTCTGCACCTCCCCTGCTCGTGCTCAGTCTCTCTCTGACTCTCAAAAACTAAATAAATGTTAATTTTAAAATTTTTTTAAATAAAAATAAATGGCGCGGTGAACGCGAAACTTTCTAACCAGAGTGGCCTTTTCCAGCCAATGCACCAAGATACAGGACTTAGGTTGTTAGCATTTAAAGGCGCTAAACACCACAGCTTCAGGTTTCTGGCACGTTTCCCGGAGCGCGCGCTCTGGAAAACTTGTGGCTCGGCGCGCCCTTGGGACGCCGGGAGCCCCAGGGCCGGCCAACGTCACGAGGCAGGAAGGGGCGGAGTCACCGCAGCGGCGGCGGGAAAAAAAGCGCGCAGAACGGTCTGGACCTACTAGCCAGTCGCGCGCTGCTCACCGCCGTCCGCGTCCTAGACCCCGCAGTCTGCGCCCGCGCCATGCCCGCTCCCGGCTCCGAGCTGCAGCGCCCGCCGGCGCAGCCCGCCGAGCAGAAGCGGGGCGCCGAACCGCAGCCGCAGCCGCCACCCCACGGGGAGCTGCAGTACCTGGGGCAGGTGGAGCACATCCTGCGCTGCGGGTTCCAGAAGGATGACCGCACCGGCACCGGCACGCTGTCGGTGTTCGGCATGCAGGCGCGCTACAGCCTGAGAGGTGACCGCTGCGCGCGCCGGGCGAGTGGGCGTGCGCACGGGTGGGCTCCGAGCGGCCTCTGGAGGAGCGCCCGGGAGAGGCTGGGTCCCGCCACCAGCCTTTAGTCCTAACCTCGATCCTGTGAGCTCCTTAACCCCCGTGCTTTGCAGACGCCAAAACTGAGGTTCGGGTTAGAGAAATGATTTGCGTAAAGTCACGCGGACGGGAGTGACAGAATTGGGAGGTAAAACCACGTCCTTTGGCGCCAAGGCCTGCGCATCCCGGTCACGCTCTCTGCCCCAGAGCGGACACGGGCTGGTAGTGCTGACCTCATACCAGAAAATGGGAGAGGATTTGCCTGGGCTTGACCACGGACTTGGCTTAGAGGTTGCCCTTTTTGACTCTTTTCTACCCTCCCCGCCCCCACCCCCTGTGTTGGCCCTTTGGTTTTGCAGTTTTAAAAAATTGGAGCGAAGGAATATGGGCGGGTCAAAAGCGGCCGGAGGAGAGAGTGAATACAGAAGCTGGGCGGGAACTTGTGGTTCCTGACCATTTTTCCGGTCTGGTCCTAACGAACCAGCTTTCCTGTTAAACGTTGAAACAGGAAAGCGAAGAGTTCGAGTAGAAGAAGTTCTTATTCCTGTTTTCCTTCAAAACAGGATGGCCCCTGGGAAGTGTCTCTTGGGGGTTGTTAGAGTCAGGCTTTCAGGGGACAAAGGGGTGGGGTGGGGGTGGGCACAAGACAGTTATCCTTGACACGGGTATGGAGATGGTTTTAAGTAGGGAGACCTACTATTAGTGAAGCACTGTGGTGGGCAGGGGAGGACCCACACTTAACCCCACACCCATTTTAGAGACTGGAAAATACCCAGGCTGCAGTGGCTGATCTGCCTTACAGAGAAATCCACCCTCCTGCCGCTCCACACAGTGGCCTCCAGTGACCCAAAGACCTAGCTTTTACTCCAGCCCTTCTGCAAGTTCCTTCAGCTTCCTCCTGTACTTAAAATGGAGGAAATCGTGCTCAGTAGGCAGTACTGATAAAAGTACTTGAAAAAAAATCTGTCCTTTTTACATGTATAGCAACTATACAACTGATAAGGTGAACTGAATAGGTACCACATTTAGAGATAAGCTTTTATATTTTGATCTGTTGCTTGATGCAAGCTTGTATATTCCCTCCTGGTGCCTATAAAATGGTGATCTTAAGGATGCTTCAAACAAGGTTGTTTTGTCATGCATATCAAGTGTTTAAACAGTTATTATTTTTGGTACACTTAAATAATAGAGGTTAATTTGCTTTGCAGATAATTAATAACTATTCTTTAGCTTTGGCCAGGGTGATATCTACTGTCTCCTGGACGTGAGTAAGTTTTCCCTGGCAGGATAATCACGGAATAGCCCTGGGAGCCTTCAGCCTTTGTCCTAGGGCACATTTTGTGTGTTGTCTTCACACTTCTCTGAAGGATTCACACTAGCTGGCAAGTGGATGTAGTTCTTTCCCTGTCCACATGGGCATCCTGCCTGGCCAGTGTTCCATCTCAGTGTGGAATTCCTGTGGTGGTCAAGGGATTCAGGAGGGCAGTCTCCTCTGAATTGGGTCACTGACTTCGCTGTATCCTGTGAGCTCCACCCTGGTCTGGGGTACCCACGTGACTAGAGTCAAAGTTTCCTGCTTGCTCCTGTGGTCACTCAAAGGCCTGTGTCCTGGGGCAGTTTTCCTCTACAGAGAAAGTTGGATGGTGTCTTCTGTTTTCCCATCTTGAAATTATCTGGCAAACTGTTTTTCAGATGAATTTCCTCTACTGACAACCAAGCGTGTATTCTGGAAGGGTGTTTTGGAGGAGTTGCTGTGGTTTATCAAGGTAAAGAAGCTGCTGCTATTGGGAATCAACAGTCTGTTCTCAACCCAGCACCAGCGAGATCCTTTAAAAAGTCAAATCATGTCATTCTTCACCTATAGCCCTTAGTGGCTCCCATTTCACACAGTAAGAGCCAGGGGCCCCTGTCCCAGCTCTGGCTTCAGCTGGCTTGCTGCTCACTCTGCTCCACCCACCTGGCCTCCTTACTAAACTTTGAGCACATCAGAACATTGCCACCTAGGGCTCTGGAACTTGCCAGTCCTGTTCCCTGGAGCCTTCCCCTACATGCAGCATGACTCACTCCCTCACCTCCTTCAAGTCTCTGCTCAGTGGGCCTTCCCTAACCTTCCCATCTAAGACTGATTATCCCCCCTCCCTCCCCGACATACACACACCCTCCTCCTACCCTCCTTTGTTTTCTCTGCAGAGAAACATCATCAGCTGATGTATGATGTGTGTCCTCCCCTTTCCCCCCTGGAAGGGGGAAAGTAGACAACAAATGAACAAGTAAAATGTATTAGAAGCTCCATGAGGGCAGAGAATTTGTTTTTTCCTGTTCACTTTTTATCCCCTGGGCCTAGAACATAGCCTGCCATATAGTAGATACTCAACATAGATTGATCACTGAATATGGATCCCAACCATGTTCTCATATTTGTATAAGCTAGAATGATCTCTTGAGTAACAAGCTATACCTCTTCTAAAGAGCCAGGTAGGTACCTTGGGTAAGGGCTAAGGTGCTGTGATGATGGACAGCTTCCTCTTGCTCTGTCTCCTGGTCCAGGCTGGTAATATTCTGGCCAGTGCTGGTTAGAGGGTGCCTGAGGAGATGGGCTCAGTTCTGGGCTGTGTAGAAACCGGGATCCCTTCTACAGAGCACTCTGTGTGGCTTGTATGATCTTGGGCCAAACCAAACTCAAGACTTCCTACTGCATTTTAGAAAGGGTTTAGAATTCGATCCAATCCAGTCTTCCTTAGTTCCATGTTCTTTTTTTTAATTTTTTTAATTTTTTTTAACATTTATCTATTTTTTTTTTTTTTTTTAATTTTTTTTTTTTTTCAACGTTTATTTATTTTTTGGGACAGGGAGAGACAGAGCATGAATGGGGGAGGGGCAGAGAGAGAGGGAGACACAGAATCAGAAACAGGCTCCAGGCTCTGAGCCATCAGCCCAGAGCCCGACGCGGGGCTCGAACCCATGGACCGTGAGATCGTGACCTGGCTGAAGTCAGACGCTCAACCGACTGCACCACCCAGGCGCCCCAACATTTATCTATTTTTGAGAGAGCACAAGCGGGGAAAGGGCAGACATACACACAGAATCCAAAGCAGGCTCCAGGCTCTGAGCTGTCAGCACAGAGCCCGATGCGGGGCTCGAACCCACGAATTGTGAGATCATGACCTCTGAGCCGAGGTCAGATGCTTAACCGACTGAGCCACCCAGGGGCCCCTGCTTAGTTCTATATTCTTGAGGCATTTTCTTCCGTGTTGTCTTCTCTCAGCTGACAGTGAGTGTCTAGTTCCAGGCACGTCATCAGAAATCTCAGATGACATTTATAAACCATCTAGTGCCCAGTCTGAATGGATATAAAAGGGAGACATTTGAAGCAATATGGGAAAGATAGAAAAATGACGTCTTGGAGGTGGAAAAAGTATAAACAAAAACAGAAGGGAGGAAATGAGATGCTCAGAAATAAATGCAGTCACTTGTTTTAATTTAGCTTGAATTCAGGATTCTAAGAACCCTTTACCAGGAACGTGTCAGGCTCCCCTCTGATAGAGTTTTTCCCTGGGTGACTGGATGAAACACAGGAGTCAGAATGAACCTGCACTGCTGCTGGCATCCGTGGGCAGGATGGAGAGACGGGGTCTGTGCTGAAGTTAGGATCTGTGGTGCACTGAGCACTTTGTGTCCTCTACCCTCACACTACTGTGTGTGGGGAATACTGAGCTCTTCTGTGGATGGAGATAGCAAGGGCAGGGGGTCAGGGAGCTGTCAGAGAAGGGTCGTGGAGGGCAGGCACAGAGCCCCGGTGTGTGTGTGTGGCACCACAGCCTTGCTTGTCCCCATTACAGCATGTCCTACCCAGAGGCCGTTGAGATCTGTCTGTGACCTGGAGGCACTATCAGGACATAGGTTAGGATGATATGGGCCACATCTGATGAGATTAAATATAAGAAATAAACATGGGCTCGTACTTGGGAAAAAACAAAACACCACCTTAACTGCATATATAGGTTGGGGTAAACATAACTCGACAGTGCCACATATAATGTGGATGATAGATTTGCAAGAAAAGCTGATACCGATTACACCAATCAGTGAAATAGCCTATGTACCAACCAGGTCTAAGATACACTGAACAGACTGCAGGTGAGGCATTAAGTGCATTTTGGGGGATCACACTTAGACACACATTTTGTTAAAAAGCACAAGACTGTTAGGCGAGGTGGGAATAATGAAAGGGTTTGGAGGTGTTTAATCTAGAACATTTAGTTGAGAAGAATAGGAGAAAAGATTTGAAAGGGTAATAATTCCAAGAATCACCTGTCCTGGAAGTGATAACCAGAAAACTGCCCTAGAGGCCCTCAAAAAGTCAGCTGGGACTGGCCTTTAAAGATGGGATGTCCAGCTGTGCAGGACGTGTGAGTGCCTGTCCCTGGTGTGTTAGCACGGGCCAGAGGCCTAATTGGTGGGAAGCTCTTGGGCTATCAACTCCTTATGGCTCAGTTCACTTGGATGCCTTCTCTGTTGTCCTGTCTCTTCCAGGGATCTACAAACGCTAAGGAACTGTCATCCAAGGGAGTGAAAATCTGGGATGCCAATGGGTCCCGAAACTTCTTGGACAGCCTAGGATTCTCCAACAGAGAAGAAGGGGATTTAGGCCCAGTTTATGGCTTTCAGTGGAGGCATTTTGGGGCAGAATACAAAGATAAGGATTCAGGTGAGAAAACAGAGCAAAGCCTTAATTTCCTGAGCATCTGGTATAGCATGAGTTTGCTCCATTGTTTCTAGTGAAGTTGGGGTTGTAAGAAGCCAGTCTGGGGAGCTGATATATATAGAACTTTGACCTTGTGAGAGGCTGTTTCAGATTCAGGTAGATCACACTCTTGGTTGTTAGTTTTTATTGGGTGCTTGGTACTTTCTGTAGCTTGTTTCGCTAGCAGATAGTTGGTCTGCTGGTTGGTCATTTGGTTGCCGTGTTGGGGAATAAGGTAGGAGTTCATCTGGGGGACAAAAAGAACAAGATCGCCTTGTGGTGGCTTGATCTCCCCTTTTGATACTGAGCGACCCAGCACCCTTTAGGTGGAGCTTATGTAATAGCAGTTGTTGGGTTACCCTCTTCTCCCTGCCCTCCTGGGGTGGACAAGAAGATGAAACATCTTACTCCTGGATGGTGACCTTCCTCAGTCATTTGGTGGCACCACCTGCCCCAGTCCTTTGACCCTTCCTGTCCTGCTTGTCCATAGGCCAGGTGTTGCAAAAGCAAATGCCTAACTCCTCAGGGTGCGTGCGTGTGTGTGTGTACACATACATAGGAAGTAATAGTTTGCTAGCTGGACAGAAACCATTGACAGCACCTGTAGATTTATGTAAGTACCACAACCAAAATCTAGAACTGTGCCATCATGGTGCATCTTTTTTTTTTTTTTAATCTTTTATTTATTTTTGAGAGAGAGTATGTGAGCAGGGGAAGGAACAGAGAGAGGGAGACACAGAATCCAAAGCAGGCTCCAGGCTCTGAGCTGTCAGCACAGAGCCCAATGTGGGGCTCGAACCCACTAACCGTGAGATCATAACCTGAGCCAGAGTCAGATGCTCAACCAACGGAGCCACCTAGGCGCCCCTTTTTAATCTTTGTTATTACTTTTTCTGAAGCTGTGATTGTGACAGAATTTTGTTCTCTCCAAAATTAAGAGCTGCTAGACCAGAACCTAGTCTAACACCAATAAGTGGAAGTTTAACCAGAGTGAATATAAAGCTCCACATTCCTCAGACTTCTCAGCTTCCAGTTCCATTTCAGGAAGAAGGCAAGGAATTAAAGTCCAGAGACCAGAAATGGGAGAAAAGTACAAGGTGGTGTAATAGTTAAAGAGGTTTCCTGATGTTTATGGATCAGCAGGGGTTTGGCTGCTAAATTTTAATTTTAGATGTAAATAATGCTAGATCACAGAGGGGAATCCACCCACAGTCTTTTGTTAGTATGTTCCACAGCAGCAAAGTGTGACAAGAATGGTTGATGGGTATAGAGACAGTCTGTGGGACCACTGGAAGAAACCGATTGCTGGGATTGGAGAAGGTTAGGAAGGGGAGGGGTTGCACCATGACAGACCGAATATTTAAAAAAGACTCATAGAAAAGAAAATAGACTTTGTTATAGCTCCAGAGAATAGACCTAGGAGCCCTGAACTCAACATCACCCCACGAGAGCTAAGCAATTTGTAGAGTGGATTAGATACCTTGTAGTGTGGCCACAGGGCGGCTGTGGTAGGACAGTGGTGGATGGCCTCTAAGGTCATCTCATAAGATCCTGTGATTGATATGTGGACATGTCTTCTCTTTTTTGACGATTCTACAGATTATTCAGGTCAAGGAGTAGATCAACTGCAAAAGGTGATTGACACAATCAAAACCAACCCCAATGACAGAAGAATCATCCTGTGTGGTTGGAATCCAAAAGGTTGGAAGCATCCCAATTATTGTCTTGTGTCCTAACTGTAACATTAGCACAAAGGGAAGCCATGTAGCTTTGCATGGAGGCTACCGAGAGGAGGCTGGATCCTGGGAACCACCACCCTCAGCTGCATGGCTGATACGACCCTGGGCAGGTCACACTTGGCCCCATTTTCACCTTCAGATGATGGGGTTGGATGCAGATGATTTTAATGTGTGTATTTATACTTATTCTTACTCCAAAGAGGGCTTTAAATTACCTATAAAAATACGCCAAGGATTTTAACAGTTTAAATTGGGGCAGATGAAGTTTCATGTCCCTGCCACCTGGCTGTTAACATTTTAACAGTTATATTATAAAATTAAACTGACCAAGATGTAATAAATATTACCCAGAGTCAAATATTTGCGTTTATAATAGAGACTTTGAATACAGGAGGGTGTGCCTGAGATGCACACCTGTGGTCCTTGTAAATGAATGAATTCCTCCTGTACTTGTAGTTTGGTGCCATGAAGGTAGCACAAGTAATTTCCGCTTGGATCAAAGAGTGTTGCTTCAGTTGTAAATGGACATCTGCAGAAGTCTTCTGTTGATGGATGGGTCACCGTAGGCGTTGTTCCATCCTCAGGATTGGAATGGTCTGCTCTTGACATAGGGGGAGGTGGGGGGGGGGGGGGTCACTGGCCCAGTGGCTTTTTCTCATGATCTCCCCCATGTGAGTTGTCTTCTGTTTCTCTCCTGTTTTACTCTGTGTATAGCTGCATTCTTTAAAACCACCATCTCCTCATTTTCCTTTGTGCTGGCTCCTCAGATCTTCCTCTGATGGCCCTGCCTCCGTGCCATGCTCTTTGCCAGTTCTACGTGGTGAACGGGGAACTGTCCTGCCAGCTGTACCAGAGGTCAGGAGACATGGGCCTGGGTGTACCCTTCAACATCGCCAGCTACTCCCTGCTCACCTACATGATCGCACACATCACAGGCCTGAAGGTGAGCTGCTCTCTGGAAGGAATGATTGCTACCAGCCTAAAGCACTGAGCTCTTAGATTCTTCAACGTGGAAAAATTAATTGCAGAGTATTCAGTGTCTGATTACTTTTAAAATGTGCTCTAGGTAATTAAGAAGTGAACTTGCTCACCTTGCAGCTTCCCATGGAGCTTTCCTGTCTTTGTGGTGTGTATAAACAAGCAGGTTTATATAGTTTATAATATAAGACAACTCTTATGAATACCACCTTTTCTCAAAAGCTACACTGGTGAAATTCTTTTCTAAAAAGCCTTGGAATGTCTGCATAGTCTACATAATGTTCTTTCAAATGATGTGTTTTAAAGGAATTGAAACTAAAAACATTTACCATTTTGCTTGCTCCTGTGCGATTTAGCCAGGTGACTTCATACATACTTTGGGAGATGCGCATATTTACCTGAATCACATTGAACCGCTAAAAATGCAGGTAAGAATGATACCGGTCATGCTTTGGAGTTTGGTAACCTCTCTTGATAAAAGGCTGCCTTCTAGAACATCCCTCATATAACAGCCCTTCTGCTCTGTGCTGTGGCAGATAAGATGGCCTGTTCCAACTACAGGGCTTCAGCTTAGGGATGGTGGTGGGCAGGGACAAGGTGGACACATTTTAGCACCCCCAGACACTTAACAGTGCTGGGAGGTACTAGATAGCGGGACCAGAGAGGGAGAGCCCATATTTGGACCAGTGGGTTTGGGACCTTCCCAGGGGTAGCATTTTCAACTCATATTTTTACTTGAAGGAAAATTTAAATGCAGATGTTTTCCCGTCATATGAAATACCATACTTAGGTATTAACTTTCAAAAGTCTGTTCAAATCCTGAGTTATAGCAGCCAACAAATGATTTTAAATGGCAATTAAAAAATGAGTGTCTAGGGGTACCCGGGTGGCTTGGTTGGCTGAGCATCTGACTCTTGATTTCGGCTCAGGTTGTAATCTCATGGTCATGGGATTGAGCCCTGAGTGGGGCTCTGCGCGGGGCATGGAGCCTGCTAGGGATTCTTCCTCCCTCTCTCTGCCCCTCTCCTGCATCCACACGTGCTCTAAGAAAATAAAATTAAATAAGTCTAATGCTTAATGATCCCCAAGAAAAAAAATTTTGAACCGAAACCCTTTTAGCCCCTTCCAGGTGAGATCCAGGTTTTGAAAGTTCCTCCTTTGAGGGAGTTTAGCTGCTTTTGTTTAGAGGGTAACTTCAGGGTTTACCCAGTTGCCTCTCTGGCTGTCTGCTCCAGTCTGGACAGAATAACGTGAGGTTGTAACACGTGTGCCTGCCCTCAGTGCCACCATCTGTTCATGCCAGGAACACCAGCTTGCATCCCTTTCTGTTGTCAGATGTCACATCTTACATTGCCCTCACTGCCAAGGACAGTTGGGATAGGGATTTGGGGACTCATACTCCCATACTGAGCACTGTAACTTCTGAGTAGTTATGGATTTGAAAGTAAAAGATTGCATCCTGTCCTTAATAAATTTACCAAGAACAGCCAATTATGAGATGAGCCACAAGGCTCCACCCGATGTGATTCCACATATCCTTCAGTCCCCACTTGTGGGAGAGGATCAGTTATATTCCAGTAGTGTTGCATAAGCAGGGACAGGTGTCCATACTATTACAGTCCTATGAAATAATATTTTGTTGATAAAATACTGTGTACTTGTCTCAGAATTAAAGCAGCTTGCACCGATAATGGCAAAATAACGATTTCCTATTATTTTTAGCTACAGCGAGAACCAAGGCCTTTCCCAAAGCTCAGAATCCTTCGAAAAGTTGAGACAATTGATGACTTCAAGGCTGAAGACTTTCAGATTGAGGGGTACAATCCTCACCCCACTATTAAAATGGAAATGGCTGTTTAAAATGCTTTTAAGGGAGATACCGGAAAGATACTGATTCTTGAGGGATTAGACTGAATGCCCGGATGAAAGGTGTTTCACCCTAAAGAAAGAAAGAACTAGGTCAGAAGTCTATTGGTGACCGGCAGTTACACTTGATTAGCTTTTGAGAATGTTGCCACTGGCCAACAGTTCTCTTACTAACAAACGACCTTGAGTTTGGTTAACTCCCTGGGGATGTGTGAAACTGCCAAGGTTAGGGATAAAGTAAGGAGAGTAAAAATTTATATGCTCTTAAAATGTGTACCTGCATTTCAATCCCATATTTTTATGAAGCTCAGTGCATTTCAATTACATGAAAACTATTCCCCCAGATTTGAGCAAGCTGAATAACACCAGCATGCATGATAATGTACAGTTGTAGTTATGAACATTTAAAGTTACTTGCTTTATATATTGCTATAATAAAGGAGTGTTGTGCGTTCATCTGGTGTTTTGTTTTTTAATTTTTTCTATTCTGTATTGCCATTCTGCTCACTGCTTGCCTAAAATAGATTTAACTGAACCCTCCTAAATAAACATATGCTGTATTCTCGTTTGGATCCTGCTTAGAGGGTTAGTATATTTTAGAAATGCTGACTAGACTGTATTTTGCCCTGTTTTTCTGCAGTTCATCTATTTCTGGCTGCATTTTATCATTAGCATTTAATGACCATTTAGGATAAAGGTTTACTTAAGGGTTATGGAAAAATAATACATGAAATGCCATTTTTATGCTCATTACTGCTGCCATAGTTTCAGTATCGTGTGAATCCTCTACTGATAGAGTTAGACTGAGCAAGAATAGAAATGCTAAACCACTCAGGGGCTTATCTGTGAAATCCTTTTACCTTTGTTACACACCAGTTACCTCTGTGACACACACATGGCACTGCAGGACTATTTTTTTACCCTGCTAATTTCTGACAGATGTTAGATAGAATAAGGCATTGTTCCAACAATTAAATAACCTGCTTATTTTCAAAGTGCAGTTTAATGTCTAGGTACCAGCACTTGATAGAAATTTTGTAAGAACATCTTTCTGGATTTTGAGTTAAATCTAAATTTGTTTAAGGATTAATAAGGAGAATATGTGTTTATTTGCTAAAAGAATCAAGTAATAATGATGACTGAGCTGATTCCTGAGGTTAACAGGACTTTCAGCTGAATTTGTTTTGATTGCTAGGGTGATTTTACCCCCTGTTTTTTTAAAACCATACCCAAAAAGTTTTAAGCCTTTTCGCTTGAAAAAGGAAAGAGTATTGGGGCTGAACATTTAATTATTTTGAGCAGCAAGAAGTTTCTTCCAGACTTCACCATCTGGATATTGGTGTTTCTTTACAGATTCCTCCTTCATTTCTGTTGAATAACCAGCATCCTATCAAAGACAAAAAATAGAGTAGTGTTAATAACCACCCAGAACAAAACTCACTTATGTATTTCTGCTGCCTGTAGAGATGCTGTTTTCAGATTGTTTGAAATGAGGAACACACTACTGGCTGCTTCTCAGGATTAAACTAATCACACCTCCTTTGACAATTCAATCTCTTGTTGCTGAAAATGAACCCCAACGTCTTGGACATGGTGAAGATTAATGGTCCAGATAACACAACCACAGTCTCAACGTTTCAGTTCACTAACCTCCAGGTGGTGCCATGTTTGTTTTTTGTTCTTTTGGTTGGTTTGTTTTTGCACAAGAAATGCATTTTAAGGTCTCAGCTGGTGTCGGGAAGAAAGGCCTGCATTAGAGAAGCCTTGTCGGAGCAGTTTCACCCTCAACTCCTGACCTTTGGGCCTTGGGAATTTGATATTGCTAACTAAGGAGCCATTTGTAATTTTTAGATACTGAAAATAAACTCTAAGGAGACAGAGCTTTGTGCTCCAGGGTCTAACCCACAAGAACAAGTCTACCAGGGGCTGGCAGTGCTTCCTCAGGGAGGCCTCTCTGGCCGAGCTCACCTTAGGAGGCATGTAGGAAGCCTTCTTGATTGTCACTGGATACCTGAAATGTTCATGCAGGTGGTCGACATATTCGCACATCCTAGGAGGAAGGAATCAGATTGGGGCAATAATGCCTTGCGTTAGATCATTTATGTGGTACTAACTGTCCAAGCAAAGGGGTGAGTACCACTAAAGAAAGGGTGGACTTGATCTGGCACAGGTTTCTATGCAAATCTTTCAACCTCTGCCTCAGGTCCTTCCCATCTGCAAAATAAAGTACTATGAGGGCTTGGTTGAAGTCTCCTCATGTGGATACCAGAAGTCTCTTGTAACTACGGATGGTCCCTGACTTAGGATGGTCTGACTTAAGATTTTTTGACTTCACGATGGTGCAAAAACCATACGTGTTCAGGAGAACTGTATTTCAAATTTTGAGTTTGGATCTTTTCCTGGGTTCATGATGTGTGACACGATCCTCTCTCATGATGCTGGGCTGTGGCACAGCAGACCCCAGTCAGCCACGCCATCATGAGGGTCAACAACCAGTATACTGACAACCGTTTGTACCCATACAACCTCTCTAACACTTTCAGCACAGTATTCAATAAACTGCATGAGCTATTCAACACTTCATTACAATACAGGATTTGTGTCAGATGATTTTGTCCAACTTTAGGCTGATACAGGTGTTCTGAGCATGTTCAAGGTAAGCTAGCCTAATCTATGATGTTCAGTACGTTAGGTGTATTAAATGCATTTTTAAATGTATTTTTAATGTTAATATTTATCAATAATTGATAACAATCTATTACTATATATTAGTAATCAATATGTTATGCTGGGCTTGTCAGAATGTTAAGCCATCTTCAGCCAAGAAAGATCTGTAAAGGTTTTATTACTCCCATCAGTTTAGACTCTATAAGTATCTGGGATTATTTGGGTGCCTTTAGCCAAAAGTTAGATGAATAGACTAAAATCACCAAATGAGATCCCATCCAGCTACACACGATTTAGAAGAAGAGCACAGGTTTTACTACCAGACTGGTCTGTGTTCAGATTTGAGGTCAGCTACCTTCTAGTTTTGTGACTTGGGGCAAGTAACCTAACTCTGCCACCTTGCTTTAGCCACAGGTTAATGAACAGCCACGACAGGCAGCCCGTGTGCCCGGTGCTGGGAATTCACAAAGGACCTGGTGAGACAGGGCCTCATGGTTTCAGTGGACACAGAGACTAAGTTACCGACTAGAATATGCACTATGTGTAATCTACAAAGAACAGGCTACAGATGAAGAACCAGCCCCATGGGAGAGGATGTTCTGGCCTTGAAGGATGAGCAGGGAACGGGTGTTCCACGCAGTCGTAAAGCAGGGGTGCTGAGCTGCTCCTGCGCCTTGCGGCTGGCTGCTCTGCGTGCACAGCAGCATCCCGGCAGCGAGGTGTGCTTCAGGAGGGTGGCACCAGCACTTCTGCCCACTCCTGGGTGGTCGCAGCGCACTGCTCTCGGGGCTCGCCCTCCTCCTCTCGGCCCTCCAGATTGGCAGGACCTTTCAAGGTTGACCTCCCCTTGGTCCCACCCTCAGAACAGAAATGAGAGGGGCAAAAGCAGAATAGCCCAGGAATGTTCACTTCTTATCGAACAAAATATTTCAGACATAAAAGGCAGCATCTATCTACTCACCACCTGACTTGAGACAGGTACTATATCACTGAAGCCCAGTCTAAACCCTCACGGATCCCATTTCTCTCTCATGGTCCTGCATTTGGTGTTTACCATTCCCATGCACGTTTTCTATGCTTCTGCCATATAAAGATCACTTCTAGTGATCTTTCGGCGATTCCACATTTAATTCCAAGAGGAAAGAAATGCATAGTAAAGCCGTATGTGTGCAGATGATCAGAAGACTGTCTTAAAGTTCACCTGGGATGTGTTGAGAAACAAGATGGAACCAGATGCAGCCACATTACAGAGGACTACAGCATTGAGACCAGGAGATTGTACAGAAGCAGAGAATACACACACGATGAAAGCAAGGCTTTAAAAAGGAAGGGGTTCTGGTTTCCACCTGGTTGCAACCCCCACCCACCCACCCATCACATACTTAGAAAACAAAGGCAGCTACCAAAACCCCACCCCCATGAAAGAAAAAGAGCTCTGTCCACTGCTAGGGCTCCAGTTTAATGGCTGCATGTGAAGAAGAGGAAGCAAAACCAACTTGGCCTTTGAGTTATAGGATGTGGCAATGGACAGAGTTCTTAGCGCCTCTGGTCGCCAGAGCAGAATTTTAAAAGGTCTGGCCTGGACCGAGGGACACTTCTGAAGCTAACTCCACGTTACTGACCTGTTTTTAAGGCTTGCAGAAACTGATATGAAGTCAAATATAATCAGGTGCTGTACCAATTCACAGAGGCCAACTCCACCAGCATGGGGGCAAACGGGAACTACAATAAAGACAGATTTCTACTTAATGCCAGGTAGGGTGGGGGTGGGGATGAAAGAGAACCTCCAGGTTTTCTCATTGCCCACAGGTGATTATATCATTCATTACGGGGATGAAACTCCAGGATAAAAATCGTCAAAGAGCGCTTGATTAAACCGAAAAGAGTCCCTACAGAGGGCTCCACGGGTGTGTGGTGGGCAGGAAATGGAGGTTTGGTGTGCAGCTCCAGGGTGCCCTTACTTTCAAACTTTTTGGCCATCAGCAACACTGAGAGGTTTTCATTGACACTTCCCAGCCTGCAGCTGTCAATCTGGAGAAACTGCAGGGCTTTCGCTTGGAGAAGCTGCTTAAATATGACTCTATTGTGGCACTGGAAATAGAATTAAAATAAAACCAACAGAATGGGGCACCTGGGTGGCTCAGTCGTTGAGCGTCCGACTTCAGCTCAGGTCATGATCTTGCGGTTCGTGAGTTTGAGCCCCACATCAGGCTCACTGTGGTCAGCCTGTCAGCGCACAGCCTGTTTCGGACCCTCTGTCCCCTTTCTCTGCCCCTCCACCGCTTGCACTCCCTCCAAAATAAATAAACATTAAAAAAAAAAACCGT